TAAAATCCTGTTGAACAAACTAGATAGAAACTCCACTGCTGTCTCTCCTAGACACTTCCACACCTCTACAGGTATGTCATCTGGACCAACAGCCTTTCCACTCTTCATTCTCCTCAGAGCCTTCCTCACCTCATCCTTTCTAATCTTTGCTACTTCCTGCTCTACAATATTCACCTCTTCCCCCCTTCTTTCCCTCTCATTTTCCTCATTCATCAGTTTTTACAGGCAATCACAGCAAATCCACCAGTTAGCGGGGGAAGAGGCAAACACAAATCACTACACTAGCATTCAGGAAACTGGAGACAGCTAAGGAGATGGTGTAGAGAAACAAATGTTATGGAGCTGTTTGAAGCAGTAAATTAGTGTCACAATGGAATATCTGCTGATAAATACTTAATATCCATCATGTACCTTGTTCACCACCTCAGCAGCTAGTATTACGTTATTAACAAAGTTAGATAGGGAGCTGTATGATGCTAGCGCAAGCAATTTCACAGTCCTGTCTGACCTAGCTATCACTCACCACTGACTTTTTTGCCACACAGCATTAAGATGCAGAAAACCAAATTGAAACAGTTGCTCGTCTCCTCCTAGTTGTGCCTGTGTCAGCAGAGTCAGAAAGGAGTTTCAGCCTCCGGAGGCTGAAAACATGGCTATGCAGCACCATGACCCAAACCCACCTCAACAGTGCTGCTGTGCGCCATGTACATAAAGACAAGCTGGATAGGGTGAACAGAACAATGATTGCTAATCAGGAAAACAGAAAGAGCACTTTTGGTTCATTTAATTGAACTGAGTGAAGGTTCAAATGTTCATATATCCAATGTTAAATGTTCAGGCCAGTTGGTTTTCATGCCATGTTGGCAATATTCAACACTTTTTGTGCAATTGTAACCAACTGTAAACAATGCTTTAAGGATTAAACTTTATTGGTTTATTGTTTAAATAAAGATATTTAAAATCATATTACACAAGAGTTTCAGTTTGTAGCTGACCTTGTTTTTCTTCAGAATAACTTAATACAGAGATTTTATTTCTTCAACGTAATAATCGGGTGTGCTGAAAAAAGAGGTGGGTAAATTGTAACAATATGAGTGAGTGGCATAAATGGCTCTTACAGTGTTGATCAGGGTTGGGCATAAAATGTTGATAATGCAGTGTCATTCAGAAACACTAAGCTATAACTGCATTGTGCTGATTATGATAGTAAGCAGAATATTGAATAACCTGGTTGAATTTGGTGCATAAACCCTATTTAGGGGTAGGTAAACGGTATATGTCATAAATAAGAGAGGTGTGTAAAACACATTTAGTTGCATTTACAGTAGCTTCAGTCTTGCTCAGATACCCCCACCCCAGACAAACCTCATCCCCCACACTTTTAAAAAGCTTGATACTCCCCTGACTGTATGTGTGCAAGTGTGTATGGTGGGGAAACACATAAGGAACCAAAAATGAACAATGAATGCAATTTGTTGAGAGCAGCTGGCCTAGAGAACCTCAGTCACCAGAAACAGCCCAGGATGTTGTTAACTCTAAACAATGTGCCCAGTAGTCTGTATAGGAATCCTAAAAGCATGACATTTCCTGGAAACTAACAGAATAGATGTTTGTGTTTCAGAGCAACAATACTCGTTCTTTCATTATAAACTCAGATATTAACTTACAGGGATGATTGGTAAAAAAATCAAGTTGTGAAGTCAGCTGGCCTGGTTGTATGTCACATTAGCCAATCCAGATGTTTGGAACAAATGGTAGAGTTACCCTTTTCTTTCCAGACACAATTCAACTCTAAAATGCGGATATTGGTTTAAGCTCAGAAAACAATCTGACTTTAACTCTGTTGCTGGGAAACTGGTAAATTAGACACTTATAAGTTCTGGTGCAGAAGAAGTCTTCAGTCTTTTACTTACTTTAACTGGAAGTAGCAATAACAACAGAATGGAAAAACCTCCCATTCTGAAGAGATTTAATTGATTAAATCTTAATCAGTATAGTAAGTACAGCTGTCAGAGTAAGATACACTGTAAATACTCAAGTAAAATATATTTACCCTAAAACTGAACATTCTGCTAAATGTTCTTAGTTTCCCAATTGCTGTACTAAACATCCCTGCAATCACCCCAGTCAGTTTATCACTGTATGGCTGGATCACATCGTCTAATTCATGTTTTGTGATTCACTGTCACTTATTGATCAGTTTTAGAAAATGTCATTTCATATAATTTGAGAAGTTGAAGAGTTTGAATCCATTGTACTGTACATTTGGTTTGGAAACAGAGTTTCTCAAAATGTGAGTCAGAGGGCAATAGTTTGTCATGAATGTGGCAAAACTCATTTCCATGCATGTTCACTGTGTTCTTTTTTGACCACAGATAAGATTGGGACTAGCAGGTTGTGATGACAGATTTGGAATTTACCTTTTAGTGAAGAGGTCAAAACTCTTGCAACACTTTCAGCATGTTAGTGGATTCACCTTTTAGTAAAATCCAACATACAGTAAGTAGTCATCAAAGTGATGAGTTTGTCTTTTCAAAGGGGTGTCTGCTTTATTGCAGCCGCAGGGCAGCCTGAAACAGGGGGCTTGTAGTAGAGATGGTACTGAAACACAACCACCTGTAAGTAAGCTAAGTGATGCCTACATTGTTAAATAAAATGTTTCAGCATGGTGAGTATCATTCAAGAAGCAGTGCAGTAATGAGAATATTTCACTTCCAGTCCATTTACACTTTAGTTTTTGTTTCCTATACATAATAAAAGCTGTCATCATATGAAAACTCAAATGTATTCCTGCCCCCTATACCCCTTTACACCCAAAATGTCCAAAACCACCACTTGTCTGTCTTACAAACATCTGCCAAAAAGAAGAAGTAAGAGTCATGAAATCACTCAGTTTCCACTGCCTCTTAAACCAAACCAAACTGTACTGCAGTGATTAGCATCACATCTACTGCAGTCATTTGACTGAATTCTGTGTGTGATACAACTGAAAATAATGGAGGAAGAATTGAACTATGTGACGGTGACTTTCAAGACTAAGAGTATTTCTACACACGGTGAGTCATATATTTTTGAATTATTGGAGCACAGCCTGAAATTTTTTGTTGTATAAGTGTCTAACGGAGGTTTTGACAGTTACTCAAGTGCTATACTAAAGTACATATCTGAAGCACTAGCAGATGGGTGACTGTGGTTCAGTGGGTAGAGCAGTCGTCTCCCGGTCGGAGGTTCGAATCTCGGTGCCTGCAGTCCACACATTGAGGTGTCCTTGGGCAAGACACTGAACCCTCAAGTTGCCACTGATGGTTAGAGCCATTGGTGTGAGTTGGCGCTGCAGATGGGTGCCTTGGTTCTGCACCAGAAACAAATTCCATGTGTGTAACATACTTGGCCAAAGAAAGATGATTACTAATACTTTGCCAAAGTATTTCCATTACTTGCTACTTTAAACTCCACTTTAAGAGGGAAATAATGTATTTTTTACTTCAATACATTTGTTTAATAGACACAATTTATCTTTGCAGATTATTATAATATACAAAACATAGTAGGATGAGCTTAAGAAAGCATGATCCACTGCATAAAGCTAGCCAGTTAGCTTCAGTGTACTCCCTACAATACTGTAGTGCTGCTGACACAGTGATGCATCAGCAATAAGAATTGAATGACATAATAATAATAATTAACCACCGATGTGGTCAACTTGTGCCACCTCTTTTAATTTTGATGCTTTAACTATTTTACTGATAATACTTGTCTTTGAGTACAGTTTTGAATCCATGACTTTCACATGTATAATGGTGTAATTTTGTGGTCAAATCCTCTTGAAGTGTGTGCAGATACAGCCTGCTCAACTTTGGTAAACCCACACTCTCATTCAAAATTACAGTACTGTGTGAAAGCAATTCCTGTAAAGCTTTTTAAGTCTTAATTTCAATCTTACAGTATCCTTAAACTTTTATAATTTAAAAAAACTCCTCAGTTAACACTTATATTTATGGTTGCAACATTTTCAGTTGCACTGGTGTCTTTGTAAACTTTAGAATCTCCACAAAAATTTTACCTCCTAAAAACTGAAGCACCCTCAAGTGGCTCAGTTTGTGTAGATTCACATTGTCAGGCCAGCTGCTGTTAAAACTGTCAGAGCTTTATTTGCAAACATTTTTGAAATAATGACGCTAGAGAAAATGCCACTGTACTGCAGTTTGGAGTGTCAGAGCTCAGCTGGACAATATAAATGGTTAAATACAATCGATGTTCATATGCTCCATGCTGACAGCACCTTTTACTGAATTATTATGACCCCATATATAAGTACTGCACCCCCACAATGTAATTATACAGTATGTCAACTTATAGTGAATGACTTGAGTCAAAAAAGTAATATACTGTATGTTTGTTTATGCATGCATATATAAAAAAGTAAAACATTAAATGTTTGATAATTGCTACAACAATGCTTTAGGGAAATTTCCATTTTATTTATTTATTGTAATTTTTATCAAATGTGTCAACCAAATTTATGGCAAGAGGAACATATCTTGATAATGCCAGCAGTGGAGCTTAAAGTGCCACACACTGACCTGAAAGTAACTTAATAGTCACACATCTCAGAACTCAAAAACAGAGACTTTTCGGTTCCTCACTGCTTTTTTGTATTTTGTAGAGAAACCAAACAGAACAGAAACCGTCTATGACACAGTGAAGACTGAGGAGCAAGAATGGAATCCAGTCGCACCAGGTTATTTGTGGTTAATCATAATAATGATGCTGCATAAACATTAAGTTAAAGTCGTAGGTTATTATAAACTTTTTTCCCCCTAGAGAAAGTAAAGAAAGCTCCGGTGTATACTCTGCTTCATGTGGTGGCAGTAAGTTTGGGGATAATTTGTGTCATCTTGGTGTCAGCTGTCATCGCCCTCAGTATCCACTGTAAGTCAATTTCATTCAGTTCAATTCAGTTTTTTTGTATAGCACCAAATCACAACAAATGTTACCTCAAAATAAGATCTAGACCCCTACTATTTTCACTGTTATTATAAAGGACAGTCCAACAAATCCCCCTTGAGCAAGCACTTGGCAACAGTGGGGAGGAAAAACTCCCTTTAACAGTAGAAACCTCAGACAGACCGCGGCTCTTGGTGGGCGGCCTTCTGCTCCACCGGTTGGGGTGAGTGGATAGAGGAGAGACAAAAGAAGAAAAGAAAAGCAATAAGACACAACAAACAATCAAACACTGGTCAGGTTGATGTGGCCAGTGATAGCTCATCAGAAACCAGGGCAACCTGCAGAAAGGTACAGGGAGAGAGAGAGGACACACTATGGGGGAGAGGAGACACACAGTTAGTGATGCATAATGATGTCATATAGATGTTTGGAGAGAGAGGAGAGGAGAGCATCATGGAGGCCCCCAGCAGCCTAGGCCTATAGCAGCATAACTAAGGGAAGGCTCAGTCTCACCTGATCCAGCCTTAATTATACGTTTTCAAGGAGTTTTAGCAACAAATGAATATAACAATAACTGTTTCTTTCCTGACTGCAGTGAACACTGTCATGTCAGAGTGGAACAGAAACAACATCAGTCTTACAGCCCAAAATCTGCTGCTGCAACATAAGAAGACAAACTTAGAGAGGCAGAAAGAAGAGCTGACCAAAGTGAAAGATGGACTGAACTGGACCATTGGTGTTATCCTGGAATATGAGACCTTTTCAGTGAAAACCCAGTGTCCACAGAAAGGTGACAAAATGCAGTTTTTCAAAAAACTGTTACCCAATGGTTTTATTCCTCTGCGAGCTTTTACATTTTGAATGTGTATTTGTTTTATTTAAGGCTTATTTTGATTTTATTTTTGTTTAGGTACAACATTTTATGTTATGACTCTTCATTCATAATGTGGATTTTCTAGCATTAAAATGTTTTAAATGGAGTGAAATTACCTGATTAAACAGGAACAAAAGAAAAAGTCTCAATTACTAAATACATATAATAGAAAATGTTGTCTCCTTCTTGTTTAACAGTGTGTAAACCTTGTCTGGACAACTGGGTATGGTTTCAGTCAAGCTGTTACCTGTTTTCAAACTATTACTTGAGGAGCTGGCAGAGGAGTCTTGATACATGCAGACAGATACATGCAGACCTGGTGGTGATTGAAAGCCAGGAGGAGCAGGCAAGACTTATTTTATGATTTAATTTATATTTTCAGGCTCAAAAATGCCATATTCATATATCATTGGTGGAACCCAGGTCCTTTACTTGAGTAAAAGTACCAACTACTACTACTGGATAAAAATACTTTATTACAAGTAAAAGTTTTGCTTTCCAAATTGTGCCTACATAAAAGTGCATTAGTATTATCAGCAAAATATGAAACGTATTAAAAGTACTTGCAACTCATAGGTAATTGCATCTTATTAGGTTAACACCAATTCATCAGTGTGTAATCAGCATTTAACTGCCTAAACTGCACAACTAGTTTTAACTACTTTATGTGCAATTAGGGTCACATGACCAATCTGAGAGGTCACTGTCAGTTTTTGGAATTTTCTTTTTCAAGTTTTTGGTGAAAAATTAGATAATGTTTCCTGTTTAGCCCTTGAATAGTTAGTCAAATTATGTGAGAAGTTACTGTAATTGGAGAAACATCTGAAAATGCTAATAAACACACACCTCTCCTTCTTAAAGAAGTATGTATTGTGTTTTGTAAGATTTTCAAATGCTCTTAAAGTACAATCTGAATTTGAAAAGTAACTTCTAACACCAACCATCAAATCAGAGGTATAAAATAAGAGAAAGTGGAAGTATTCAAGTAAAGTAAATTAGATTTGTTAAATACAGTACATGTGTTTACTTATATTTAACCACAACCGCAGATGTGGATAAAATGTCTTATATTATACCCTGCAGTAGAACCACATATGTAATCAAAACAGGACCAAATAGGAAACTAACAACTAAAATCCCACCTGTGTTTGACAATTAACACTTATGTCACAAATGCAGGAATTCATCAACAACCATACTTCAGCCTACCATGATAAGAATAATGGCTATTGGATTGGCTTAAGCAAAAATGAGATGGACACATGGAAGTGGGTAGACGGAAGAAGCCTCAATATGACGTAAGCACAGAAATACACATCACTCAAAAGTTGCCACATTACTTTATCCATAATGAATCTTGACCAGAGTTCAGCCACACTTCCTTTATAATTACTTTAAACAAACCAGGCCATCAGCAAGAGGATATGCTGCATATTAAATCTTACATCAGTGGGTTGTAGAGCAATGTGATGGATAGACTGGATAAAAAAAGTTCATTGTCATTACACTGGAAGATGGTGAAAAAATAATCCACTACGAATTATTATCGACATGTTTAGTTCCTTCAGCAATGCCAAAACAAAGCTTTAACCAATGAAAAGCAAAGAGGAAAGAAGCGACAAGACTTTTCATTTAGCATGAATAGTACTGCTGCTCAGGACTTAGGCTATCAGATGTCTGGACACTGGTCTAGTCTGTTAACTGTATCCATGAAACTGGTCCGACTGTGACACTGTCACTTTTTCAGAGACCGACTGACAACAGGGAAACTCACACACATAAACACAGACACAAAATCAATGATACACTTTACAATAAAGACATTAGCATTAAAAGAATAGTGGGCCATTTTGGGAAACACACATATGCAATGCAATGCTACAGTTATCAGACAGTTAGCTTAGCTTAGCACCAAGGCTGTCACGATATCAGATTTTCACTACATGATAAAATAAATCATGATAACGATATTATCACAATATCTACAAAAAATAGGAAAAAACAAAATAATGCTATCAGTCAAACTCATTAACTTTATTGTGTATACTGTCTCTTTTGTGTCAAACGAATTACACTCAAAATTTGAGTGTAGGGAGGTGGAGATGGAGTCTGCAACCATAACTGTACAAAAGCATACAAAAAGAACAGTTACATTTAATGGACAGTGAAAAGGCAACCAGATGAACTGATAAAAGATTCATAAGGCCTAATATTTGCTAACACAATGTCAACTTAAACCTGCAGGGAGCAGGGGAAAACCACATAGTTACTGGCTCTAGGTTATCTACAATATTATCATATGTGTATTTTTAAGACATTGTCAGTATTTCATTTTTTAAATATCACGGTTATTGTCAATACTGGTATAGTGCAACACCCCTATCTAGCACAAAGACTGGAAACAGGTGCAAAACAACCAGCCTGGTTCTGTCCAGACACATACCACCTACTGAAAAATGAAACTCAACTTGTTATATCCTGTTAGTTTAGCCTGTACAAAATCTGATCAAGGAATATCAGTTTGTGGTTACCCAGAGTTAAAGGCATTTTGTTGGACATGAGTAGTGACTTCCTGGAGACCAAACATCAGCACAGTGAGCTGTCATGTGTAGTGAGCTTTAGAGGTTGGGGGTTTCTGTAAATGTTGAACAATTGCAGGCAAGTCTTTATGCTAAGCTAAGCTAACTGGCTGTAGCTTCATTTTATACAGACAGTGGTATCACTCATCTCACCAGATTCTCAGAAGGAAAGCACAAACACAGGTTGATAATGTGATTTTTTTTTCTGCACTAGGTACTGGAAAACACAAGAAGCTGGCAACAAAGGCTCATGTGCTTTAAGTCTGCCAAGTGCAGATCCTCTGGCCAGCTGGGACAAAGTGGGGTGTGACAGTCGGAATCGCTGGATCTGTGAAACCAGAGCCCTGATCAAATCAGATTAGGCATGAGCTGAGTCATCATATTAGTTTATTTAACACTTGAGAAGTCATCCTGTTTCTCTGGAAGCAGTTTCTGTTTTTTGTGGTGTTTCCCCAGTTTTTAAAATTAAAGATACATAGTATTTTTTGTGTTTTTTCCAACTTTACTGCAAGTATCCAACCGTACAAATGTTGCTGGCTGTGTATGTAGGTTTGTATAAGTACTTTATTTTTATTTTCCTAATGCACACTCCCTTTTCTTGTTTGCATATTCTTTCTCTTTTTTGTTCTCTCTGTCTTATCTTGTTTATTTGTCTACTTGTTGCTTTATGGAAGAGCATTGTACATGCACACCGGGAGCCACTGTACCAGAGTTAAATTCCACTAGTAAAGAAAAAAGATTAGAGCCCGCACCTTGATTTAATTCTCCACAAAATTTAATTCTTTTTATTCAGGCAAAACCACCACACCAAATGATTTTTGCAGCTAGTTCTTAGATATGGACCCTTCATTATAGCTTAATTGGTCTAATAACCTGTTTTATTGATCAGTTTTGTTGTATACTTTTTATAAAAAACTAAATTTTTTTCAGGGTGGGGCCACTGAGAGGTGACCTCTCTTTTTCAGGTACACCATGTTCACATATGCATTCCCACATACTGCACCAGGCTTGAAAGTACAGTATGTTGAAAGTAAACTTTGCTGAATGTAGTATTCAGCAAGCAGATGCTAGTGTAAACTGTATAAATGTGTATGTAAATATATGTGTGTATATGCTTATATTTGTTCATTTTTATCTTGTGGTTCATCAACATGCGCAGGCTGTGAGAACCCCTCTGGGTCAATAAAGACTATTCATCATCCGTCTACTTTGTGCTGACTAAATGTTAGAATCTGTGTATGTGCACTGGACCATTGTGGAAGAAGTACTCAGATCCTTTACTTAAGTAAAAGTAGCAGTACAACACTAAAAATGCTAATAGTAATGTTACAAATAAAAGTCCTGCATTCAAAATGTTACTTAAATAAAGAAAAGGTAAAGAAAAAATCTAACTAGCATCTTTTTAGACTGTATGATGGACTTGCGCAAAGCTCTAGAACAACAGGCCGGCTGTCTTACTTGTCAGTTTTGTAATTCCAGAATGCAAATTGAGAAACTGCAGCTTGAAGAGCATTAGGCAAAAGAGGAAGTTTGTTTGTTCTACATCTGGCATTTTGTTCAGCCACATCTGCACCAGAATCGGAAAAGTGCACTCTCATTCCCCGTACTGAAGCAAGTACAGAAATGTGCAACTTTTAAGGATGGAGAAAGAACTAAACTATGCCACAGTAGTTTTCTCTGATGGTAGAAAACCTCCAAAAGGTAAGTGACCATTTATTAAAAACACTCATCACTGTTATTCAAAAAGTCCTTTAAACTATCTAGACAATTTAATTCACTATTTAATAGGGGTTTGGGGGAAAAATCTCACTCAACGCTTGAAGTTACCATGAAATTAAGAATGATTTTTTTTTTAATCCTGTTTATTAAATTTTCATGCTGATACAATACACATGATAACACCATTTATTCCAGTTTCAGCAGCCTGTTTCCTGCTCCGTCTTTACCGCCAGTTACATCATGTCATAGAGTTTCATGCAGATTACACTTGCTGTAATATTTAATGCAGATTACACTTGCTGTAATATTTAATGTGCTCACTCACCTGGGCTGGAAACAGTCACAATCTTAGTTTGACTACTGTGTTGTCCATGGGCTTAGTGAATGCCACCTGGACATAAGATGAGGAATTTAAAACTTATATTAGCATAGACATGTGAATAAAAATGGTTTATATCACTGGATGGGCTTGAAAAGTGCTCTGAATTGCTGTTGCTGAAACTTTGTATTTGCAAGTATGAGCATGAAGGACTGCCCTGTTTGAGGGATTCACACTTACATCACAGCCGCATGTCCTACTCTTTCTGCTTCCATTTTTTGAAACAAACAAACAAACAAAAAAGCCACCCAACCTGGTGTGCTCTTTAATATTGTAAATCTGTACTTATAATAGAGTCTAAGAGTAGTTCTAGAATTGTTCACACAGACAATGAGCCAACACAACACACACATCCCTTTCCACTGGATAAAAGAGTAGAAGACTCACACCATGGCACTGGCAGACCTAAAGCACATCTAGCACTCTTGTTTACCTTGTTACCATGAGCATTCACTGCTATTCAGTCTCGAATATTGGCCACAGATGGACAACCTGAAAACATAATGCCTCTCCATGCCAACTATCGCTGGCATGGAGGCATAAAAATCAGTTACTTTATGCAGCTTCAGCATGCACAAAGAAAATGCTATTTCATTGTGTGACTGAATACACATCCTTATTAACTGTCTCTTATCATTTCCTCATATTATTATTTTCATCAAGAGAAAAATGAGGAGCCCACAATTTATTCTACAATAAGACATGAAGGACCTAATGATACAGTACCAAGTAAGTACTAAAATCTGTCATTTTATCCATCGTGGTCATAAGTAATGAGTCATTTCAGTCATCTGATCTCAAAAGAAAAAAAAACTAGTCTCTTACAATACAAAATGACATTTTTTTGTGCAGCTATAATAATGTTGTTAATGAATGAGATGATAACACTATAATTACAAATATGATTGTGAGTTTTCTCATTACAAGCAGATGGTGAAGCAGCTGCAAACTGTCAGCGCTTTCATCTGCTGGCAGTGTGTTTGGGGACACTTTGTGTCCTCCTGGTGGCAAGCATAACTGCCATCATCTGCAGTGAGTCTCATTTCAACACACTGACATTTCAGTAAACAGATATTGCAGCTTACATCGCTCACACCAGTGGCGTCAGTCTGGGATGCCCAGAGAATCAAAAATAAAAGATGTTATGTAATGCAAGTTCGGCTTTCCCAGAATGGCGCCTGTTTCCACAGTCTGTCTGCATTTTACACTTTAGTCATGTTTTGTATTGTTGATTATTACTTTTTGGTTGTTTAGTTTGTTACATTACTACTACACTACATTAGAGACAAAATATTACCAAAAGCAAGTAGAGTTGAGTCTATTCAAGTTGAATTGAGCCAGTACCAGGCGATGGAAAAGCGCCTTTTGTTTATACACTGTATTTTCTCTGTGTGGTCTCTGTTTAGAGGATAGAGCTTAGAAGCAGAGTTGGAGGCTTCGGTAAAGCAAAACACAAAAAAATCTACAGTATTTTCACATTAGTCTACCTTTTCACAATATCCACATATGCTGGTTTCTTTGGACAATAAATGGTAACTTGTACACTGCTGCTTCACTGAGAGGTTTGAGCGTGGAAAGCAATGGCTGCTGCTCTTGGGTAGAAAATGTAACTAATCCACCACATTGTTCCTTTGGTAACAACAAATGGATCAACTGATTGATTGAATGACAGAATTACAGTATGTGCTCTCTCTCCTTTTCACCATAGCCACTGTGGTAATGAACAAACAGTGCGAAAACTTTGAAGCAAACCTCAGCAACCTCAGCAACCTCACAGCCAAAAATCAGCAGTTGATGTTAGAGAAGCAGATACAGGACTTTTACAAAAACATGAACAATCTCACCCGGATGCTGGAATTCATCCTGAAATTTGACACCTTTCCAGTCAACACATACTGCCCCAATAAAGGTAAGTCCTTCTTGTGTTGACAATATGAGTCTTAGATAAAAATCTTTTAAAGAACTGTCAGTGGGGTAGCATCACCTAGTGACATCAGTATGCAAATGATCTGAACCAGAGGTGATCACTGCACACATGCACAGATCAGCAGCAGAAATGGCAGCACCAAGGACGGCCAAGGATATATGCTAACGTGAGGATCCAAACCACTGATGCTGATATGGCCGTTCAAAACCAGACTTTGTATCAGGATTATTGATACGTCGAGGATTGATCCACCAGCCTCTGAACAGAGCACCGAGTTCAAACTGAGGGTGCATGTATATTGTCAACCAAAATAGTGGACACTTTTTTTAACCTACATATTTGACCTAGATGTTGCCCAGCTTTTAAAATTGACCTGTTTAATTTTGGAAAAATGAATATCTAATGTCTCAGACTTCAACTGGCTCTGGCTGAGTGGTGTTTGAATCTAACATCACACTGTGTATTGGTTCACCCTTTTTTGACAATAAGACTTCTCAACATTTAGCATTTAAAATAAGAGATTCTATTCTTCTTCCATTTTTCTGTTTATTTCATGAATGCAGTGTGTCAGCCGTGTCAGAAAGACTGGATTTTGTTCCAAGACAAGTGCTACCTGTTCTACAATAAAAACAGTAATTGGAAGACGTGGGACCAAAGCCGGGCCTATTGCCAAACCTTTTTTGCAGATCTGGTTGTTATTGATAGTCTACAGGAACAGGTGAGGTCTGCTACCATAAAGCCACAGTCACTCAAAAACTTTTTAAATTGTGTTTCAATTCCTATTTATAGTTTACACACAGACAAAATACATTCACATTACAAACTTACCAAAACAGAAAGGAAAAAAGTTTTCTTTGTCAGCTTTTGGAAATTCAACAGTTGGTAGGCAGAGTGTTTTTACTGTCTACTCAGCACTGATGGCCAGAAGTTTATGTGCTACGGTATGTCTTCCAGGAATTCATCAGTAATCACACCCAGTCTTACTATGATCAGTATCATGGATACTGGTTGGGGTTACAACAAACCTCTGACAAAAACTGGCTCTGGGTTGATGGAACTAATGACACCCTAAGGTAAGAAAGTAAAAAAAACAAAAAAACAATTTAAGCAGGTCTCATTTCCAACAATCTTAAGATGAACCAAATTTTGTTGGCTGGTTTCAAAGACTTAAAGACAGGTTTCTGCCATGGGTGGGGGTTAGAAATCAGTGTAGAATTATTGTGCCTCAAATAAGTCACAATATAGCAAGTACTGCTCTGAGAAAGGCAAGGCTTTTTATAAGCTCTTGTGGAGCATTATCCAACCTTGGGGTGAGATTGTTTTACCAACTAATGTTTCTCTCAAAAGTCAACTTTTAAGTCTCAAATGAATAAATAAAGTAGTTAATGTCCAACCTGGATGAATGAGAATCTTTATAAACATCATGTCATTTAGATTTCACTTTTTTTTTATCTGTATACTTTCAGTTGTATAAAGGCTAATAAAGGTACTTGTATGCATGTTTTGTGTTGAGGTACTGGATGAAGGACACATCTAGTGTTTCAAGTTTATATGCACTGATGATTCCAGGGAAGAATATCACAGCCAGCTGGGACCCTGCAGACTCTAAGATGCAGAATAAATTCATCTGTGAGGATAACGTTCTAATTAAGTTCTCTTAATTCGCACCATGTTTTTACACTGTATTCTTGCTCTGTCTGTTGCATGCAAAACTAATTTTCCAAAACTTTATCACCAATGTTGGAAATTGAAAACACTTAATCAATAATGCTCCGGAAACAGCCTAAGTATGTTTTAGGACATAAATGCTCATTGTTTTGTCTGGCTAAAATGGTCTGTATTTTATACTAACTGCATCAGTCTTTTGTACAAGTAGTTTAGTCTAGTTTAACTGTAAGAAGTGAGTTGTGGAATTTAAATATGATAAAACAGATATTGTCCAGTTGCTTGACTTGTTGTTCCTCCGCTGGAGATTTCTAATTTCTGCCACGCCCAGTGGATAATTGTATTATGGCAATTTATATACCTGTGACTTTTACTGGGAAGATACTAAACATTATAAACAACTGTTTTTCTTGTATAGTTGTTGACTTAGGATTTGTTTCTTTGGATGATTCAAATTTCAAAATCATTAAAGCAAGTGGACTTAACATTTACACCAACATGCAGTGATGCACGTTGTGTACTCGCAGAAATTTCTGTTTTGTACTTCCTCGGCTGACTTAAATTTCTGCTGTTACATAATGTGTCCAGATGTATTACACCATAAAATTCTTAATGCACTCTCACTGAAATGTTCCTTTTTTATGCACAGTAGTTTATCGGTCCATAGACCGACTGTTCTGTCAGTTGTATCGCTGCATATTTAACAACCAAACCCTTTCACATTAAGCTGGAAGCATTCCAGTCTCTGTTAAGTGTAACCTTAAAACTAACAACAGAACATGCAGTAAAAGAACATTGCATCCATTTAATGCATCATTCCTGTCAAATCTGTTGTAAGCTGTTGAGCCAAACTGTCCTTCCTGTCACAAACTTAATGACGTCTCTGCTCCTATGATATATGTAATCTATGAGTGGTGCCGGATTTTCAGGTCATGGAAAAGTAAAACTGTTTCTAGATAAAACACAGAAGAGAGCTGAGAAGGATCAGCTACATTGTCAATGTGGGGCTATAACAGAAAACTACCTGTCACTTACTGCGTAGTTATGAGTAGCACTTTCACCCTTTGTATGTTGACATTGCTAAACTAAGAATATTTTTGGCAACACGTTCAATAATGGTGTTTGTCTTCAACAAACTGCCAGGAGACTAACTGTACTATAGATGATAAACAGTGTCACTTTTTTCATTTAAATAATACTTATTCAAAGTTCAGTTGACTTAACATATCCCATCAAACCATTCAATGAAATAAGCTTATTAAAGCTACAGCATGTAACTTTTTTCAAATAGTTTGGTTGTAAAAATCTGCTCCAAAGCAGTCAGAGATTTATAATTACTTCTGCTTGATCAGTAAGCTTTTTTGCATTCTCATTTGTTGTACTTTCATAATGACATACAGTACATCTGAAAAGCTAGGCAGAGCGTGGCAGAGCGTGGCAGAGCGTGGCGGAGCAGGGAGAGGGAGCGCTGAGTGGAGCAGAGTGGGTCGATGTGGAGTTTCATGCTAGTAATGCCTTAATTAAAAAAAAAATGTAGCTTTAAGTAATTTTTTTTATATCTAGCTTGGAAAATCTAAGAAAATAAAAAAAATTTAGTGCAGTTTGATGTTGCATTTAATTTGAATATAAGATTTAGAAATAGGTTTATAAAGTGTACTTCCATGTGTTGCATCATTTTAATAAAAGCACAGCATAGTTGTCAGCTTCCTCAAAAAGTAGTTTATGATAAAGAGACTACAGTGAATTCTTGCCATTTCATATTAATTTTCCAATAAAAATATGAGTTCGGATTCCACAGACTATCAACAATTTTAAAAAGCAATGGCCTTAAACCACAATAAAAATCCAGTGACCAGGTTTCCTCGGTCACTTAGACACTTACAATGCAACAATACTGACTGAAAACCTGTTTGATAACATACGAGTTGTTCAATAGGCAGAAGAGGCACCACTTCTGGATGTCATCTTGTTACTAGTCTGATTTACTAATTCAAGATATTCTGTCAATGGAAAACACGCAAATGCACGTACAGGCCCGTAGCACTGGAGAGCTCATGTTCGACATGTAGCCCAGAGCTGATTTAAGGTAATGCTAACTTCTCCAATCAGCCAAAACATTTTATTTTCTACTCTCTGAACTTCTTTTTTGGAGGAGGAAGTACCTCCTCATTTACATCGAAGTCAGTAGTTGGTTTGGCCCGTGCACACTTTTTCCTTCTCTGCTTTACAGTTGATTCTTCTCTAACTTCTGCTTCCTCCAACAAAACTGCAGCTTTTTTGCTTTTGGCTAGTGAAGTAGAGTTGTGGACTGATGCTGTATAAATACTCTCCTTGTCCTCACTGTGGTGTTTAGACAATTTCTTCCTCCCTTTATAGTTGGTATTCAGATCAGTGGCCTCTGGGCTCTTGCTGTCTACTGCAGGTGAAGCCACTCTTTCTTCTCCATTCTGCTCTACATTGGCTTTTTTCTGTTTGTGTTTCCTCTTTGTTTTGTGAAAATAGTCCACTTCATTGTTCTCTATGCACAACACATGCTCCTCAGTGGAAACCACATCAGCCATTTCCTCAGCTTTCTTTTTCTTTTTGAGTTTAACATCTGTCATGGGACTTTCAGACACTTCACCATTTAGCTCATTAATGCTGCCAGTGGATCTCTTCTTTTTCTTTGTTTTTCTCAGAGGATCCTTCTCCTCCTGCTTTTTGGCTCTCTGAGCTGACTGTGAGGTCGGGGAAGCTGGTGGAGCACAAACTGGTGAAGCACCTGCTGGTTGGCTTTTCTTGCCATACTTGGCCATGAACTCAGCCTCCTGCTGCTCCAGCCGGGCTAACTTGGCGCTCATGGTCAAGCCATGTCTTGCTCCTCTGGAGGAACACAATCAAATAACATCATAGTCAAACTTGTTCTTCTGAAATGTGCCGAGATATTTTAGCGTTTTCTCACTTTTACTAAAAAAGGTTTTACTGAGCAACCTTATTCTTTCACATAGGAAAAACATCTAAGGTTTTGTAGAATTTTATGAATCAACCTACTTGTGAGCCGTGCGTCCTCCACAAGCCTTCATGAGATCAGCATCAGATAGCCTGGTGAGCATCAATAAACAGCACGTAGTTTATGGCTCTATTAAAAGCTTAGATCACAAAGTGCTTTGTGGACCAACCAACGAGTGACTAATAAAGTCAAACCAAAATTAAAAGCTGATTGATTATAAAGAAATATCACAAATTAGAGGGAAGGGGAGGCTGAGAAATCAGCAATTACTCTGAAGCCATTGTTGATTAAGCATTAGGTCGGTA